ACGATGCTTTCCTTTCGAAAATGCAAACTGATGTCATTTACACTGACTTCAGTAAGGCGTTTGACTCTGTGCACCATGACATTTTACTTTTTAAACTTGACCGAATAGGTTTCCCTCCGTCTCTTTTGCTTTGGATTAATTCTTATTTAAAAGGTAGGACCCAAAGAGTAATGCTGAGGCTGACTACTTCTAAACGGGTTCACGTTACTTCTGGTGTTCCTCAAGGTAGTCATCTTGGACCTTTACTCTTTACCCTTTTTATAAATGATCTCCCCTCTGTCATATCACATGCCCGTGTACTCATGTATGCGGACGATGTCAAACTTTTTCTATCATACACTAATCCCCTACATCATTCTCGTCTACAAGACGATTTGAACGCTATGCAACTATGGTGTTCGGCCAATCAATTGCATCTAAACTGTTCAAAGTGTATGTTTATGACTTTTAATCGTACTACACCTTATCTTGTCAGTTATACAATCGACAATATCCCTTTGCAACGTATACTAACAATTAAGGATCTAGGCGTAATTTTTGATTCTAAACTCTGTTTCAATCTTCACATAGATACCATCGTTAATGAGGCAAAAGGTGTACTTGGATTCATTAAACGATGGTCTAAAGAGTTTAACGATCCTTTTATAACAAAACTTCTGTACATCTCTCTTGTTCGCCCTATCCTTGAATACTGCTCTTGCATTTGGTCTCCACAGTATAACAACAGCCAGGATCGTATTGAATCTGTTCAGAAGCAATTTCTGCTTTTTGCCTTACGAGGTTTAAATTGGGACCCTAATCTTCGGTTGCCGTCCTACTCCAGCAGACTGCTTCTTCTCAACCTTCCGTCTTTAACCAACCGTAGAACAATTCTCGGTGTTGTCCTTCTACATAAGTTGATTATTGGCGACATAGATTCCCCTTTTCTGCTAGGGCGTCTTCAATTCTCTGTTCCGGCTAGACCAACCAGAAATTATCGCCCCTTTTCACTATCTACGTGCACAACAGACTACGCTATGCACAATCCTTTTCGCGTGCTATGTAAAAATTATAATAGTTTGCATCACGTTTTCTCTACAGAACTGTCTCTACCCCTAATAAAATCGTTACTTTCAGGATACCTTCGGGAAGTCGCTGACCATTCCCAGCTATGAGCAGGGGCATAGCTTGCCGGACAGGCTGAAAAATTTTCCCCCACCGGGTCGGTGATTTCCCATTACTTTTCTCTTTGTCCTATCTACTTAACACTCTTTATCTAACTTACATTGCTTTACTTTATTAACAATCTTCTTACTTTCATTTTTCCTATTTATTGTATTTTCTTTATTAATATGACAAATTAAGATTATTTTAATGTTACTTGAGAACACTTTTTTCCTACTTACAACCTTCTGCTTAGATGTAGGCTCTAATAGCGTCACTGACAAAATTAGCTGTGAAAAGGGGCACAGCTGGCCGGACTGGCAAATAAAACACCTCCATCGGTCGGTGATGCTATTTAGAAAATTGTATTCTTTAACTAGGCTTTTAGCATATAATTCTATTATCTATTGTATAACCTATTGAATAATGAGTAAGACACTCGGTTTGTCGACCATTAATAAATAAATAATAAATACTAAAATAGAAATAGAAAATCTAAGAAACTGCAATGTTTGATGCCTATTCACCCAATTCCTACCAGGAACAAGTAAGAGTCAGGAGTTTCCGACTGAATTCTGTTTTACCAGCACCAATTGCAGCTCGCGTTATCAGGTCGTTTGCTTTAGCTGTAATCTAAAAATAATAAATCAATCAATTGTAGCTCACTTCTTGCCACCGCCTTTGCTCTTTAGCTAAAGAAACAGTTAATTTAAATTAAAAAAAAAAAAAAACGAATTTTAATGCCAGCACTTAAACACAGCAAAATATATTACAATTGCAATTGCACTTTTGTTTATAGAATTTAATAAATACATATATAGAAACTCTTGAACTTTGCGCTCGATGCCGCAAGCACGTGGCTTGTCAATATACATTAGCACACCTTTTCTTTAAAACCTTCTGTGATTCTTAAATACAATTGGTTAAAAATTGTGGCTTAAATTGGTCGGGACTTCCAATTGACTTATTTATTTGATTTATAGCTATGTGCCGGACATTAATGATGACAATAGATATAAAATTGAACATACTTGATATCTTTTTACCCATTTTCAATGTCTTCAGGGTATAAAAATGAATAGCAAAACTATAGCGGAAGACAAATGACATTTACATTAGTTAGCATTAGAAACAGCAGCTGCTGAAAAGAAGAAGACCATGCCATAAGAGGGGACCAACGAAATTGGTAAAAGCTTAAATAAAAATCAACACCATGTATGTATCTCTATATATAAAGCTGTTCATCCTGACTGACTGATTGGTGATCAATGCAATGCCCAATGCATTGCAGAATCTAAGTATTCTCGATGAAAATGCGATTTAAATTCGGGTTCAAGACACGCTCGCACGCTTAGACAGCAAGAGAGTAAGAAATACATATTACCTATGCGATAGAACGGCATCGCTGGTCGTTTTTATTCCCTCGCACTACAGGAAACTGCTTTGGCTTACTCTCAGTGCTTTTTTTTTGTGTATTTACCGTTGTACTGTCAGTGTGTGTGTGTGTGTCCTCACAAGCAAAAATGCCCAAAAATCAGGAACTTTGCCAGAGCAGTGAATGATAACACATTCAAATATGCTGTTATGTATGTATATTCAGGCCCTCATAGAGCCGAAGCTGAGAGAACATTCTATTTTTACCTTTTTCGCTCTCTCGGCTGTGAAAGCGCAATGATACAGATTTCATTTTCCTTTTTTCAATTTTTCCAATTTTCAAAAAATCAAGCTGCATAGTAACAGTTAGTTTTATGGCGTTTCTCATATTAGTCTTTAGATTGTCTATGATTTAGCTATACCAGCATATTCAACAGTTTTTGTTAGCTAAATTGACTGCAGTTGATTAGATACATATATGTATATCTATAGATATTCTCAGGTAATGCTTTTTATACCATGAGCCCATTGAAAATAGGTAAAACGGTATAACGATTTTGTACCAATATATGTATGTAAAAGACAAAAGGAAGCAAATCCGAATCCATAAAGTTTATATATTCGTTGGCAGTATCAATATTCTTGACTATCAAGATCGTTTGCCTGTCTGTTCATCTGTCCGAATGTATGAGAGCCAGAATTATCCATCAATAATAGCAAATATTACACACCGCAAGAAAATTTCTTCAAGATCGGTTAAGAAACCCAGAAATTATAAAAATAACCCCTATTATAATATACTAACGGATATTCCTCGGACTAGCCCGTGCCAAATTTTTTTGCTTTATATTTAGTTCTTCATCCAAGGCGTGCAAAATTTGAATCTGCCTGTACTACTATTTTGAACTCTACGTTTATTTGAAAAGATATTTAAAGTTAATTGAATAGAAAACCATGATATGGAAAAACCGTTTTCTGCGCCTGTTGTTCTTGTAGTGAGAATCTTGAAGCCGAAAAAATAATAATAAATTATACACAAATATCGCTAAAAATAAATGAACATTTTCCGACAATTTTTTATTTAGTTTAATGGGACGAATCCTTAAGAGCTCCAAGAGCGACAGGTGTGACACTCGCCTCAAATTAATAATCATGAAGATTTTCGAAATTATTTTGAAGCCGATCGGATGATAAACATAATCTTTCGTCAACCGTTTTGCGCCATTTACTACAGATCCCGATGAAATTTAGAAAATCGATAAAGCATGCTAAGCTCTTATGCAGGGCTTTGAAAATAGGCTTGAAGCAAATCAGACGAATCTTTAAATTTGATTCTGCAAAAATATGTGAAACACGTTTTGAATGAGCTGGAAACTTTACTCACCAAATCTTGGACCGCCAAAAGTGCGAAACACCCTTTCCACTGAAATCGAAGGAGTCTCTTTGAAAATGAGTTTGAGGCTGAGTTTAATACAAACATTTTTTGCCATTTTTTCACACTTTAGGATGGAATATTTCAAAACCATGTGCATCTTGGCGTGCATCTCTAGCACATAAGCTCTTGCAGTTTGGACGATGTGTTGACTACCAATCACTTTGTCAGGACAAATAGTTTTATATATAACAAGCGGGTATTGCCCGGCCTTGCCTTAGATATTTCTTTTCCACTTAGTACACGCTCGTAGAAAATTGAAATCTACCCGTTCGGTCTTGAACTCCACTTCTATTTAAAAATATGTTTAAAGTACATCGAATAAGAGGTTTCTGTCCTTGTTAGTCTAAATCAAAAAATCGTCAAATCGCACTTTTTACCTGGGAAACTTTTTTTTTGCGAAAAATGTAAAGCACATCTCAAATAATTGTTCATATAGATCCTTGAAAATGAATTTGACCGCGAAACGGCACCCACCACATTTCCTCAAGGTGGAATAGGTTTTTGGAAAAGTGTAAAACACCCCTTAAATGAATTTAAACTAAGATTGTAGGTAAACAAAAAAGTTGTATACAATCGTTTTTCGCGATTTTTCCATACTTGAGGGTGGAATTTCCCGAAACTTCGTCTTAACGTGCAACTTCTTCACATAAGGTAATTACAGTGAAAATTTCAGCTTCCTAGCTCTTACTCACCAGTCAGTCAATAAGTCAGTCAGGACAAACATTTTTATATATACAGATATAATAAGATATGTATAAAGGTTAATACAAATATAGTCACCCTGTACCCTGCCGTCTTTAACAAGAAAATTTTGTTCTGTTGCATATTTTAATATATGTTTACTTTCAATGCGATCAAAATTGTATTAATTTTTTTTTTTTTTAAATACCCGTTTTATAAAATTATATCTACAGGGTATAATGCACACATTTGATAACAGAGATAAAGAAATATTTCTAAATTGAGATAAAAAATAATAAGATAACTCGGACTGTGCTTTGGTTTTTAGATGTGAAAGATACAAAATCAGTGTTTTGTGCTTTAATGCTTCTTGGCCCCAAAAAAATGGCCAGACGATCCATAATTTTTATTGTTATGTGGGTACATTTTTCCTGCACTTTGCCAAAAAAGGTCAGCAATCATCCATTTTAATTACATTAAAATTTTAAATTCATCATATGTAGATTACAAAATGTGATGATAATACAACTGAAACAGCTAGTGGCAGAGCATATTGGAAATTTCGGGGCATTCGTTATACAACTTCTGAAGATATTCTTTGTTGGAAGGACCATTGGGAACTCTTTTTACGCGAGTGTAACACAACTACTGGCCAGTGGCTGCCAGAAAATGTTGTCTGCAAACCAGAAGAGAAGATTAATAAATATTGCCCGGAGGACTTAAACGAAATTTATGATGACAAAGGTAATCCGCTATGCCTTAAAATTTCATCAAAGCCACAGAAGTATGATGACAATTTTTGCCATGGCTCTAATACAATTTTACCATTAGATATTTCTAAACATCAGATTGTAAGTTTCACACAGTTCTTGTATGAAAAAAACCTTAGAGAATATTGGTTACCAATACAACGTGAAAATAGTTATATGCCATATAAGATACGTTTGCCAGGTGACCGTTGGGGACAAGTTGTCAACGACAATATGAACCTAACAGATTTAAGATCTGATAAAAAATGTATGTCAGTACGATATTACCATCGCGTACAACAAAATAATGATAAGAAAGGGAGTTCTGATTTTATCATAAATATTACTGATTGTGAAGACTTATTGCACTCGATTTGTATATATCAAGATAACCTAATAGCCAGTTCAGGCTGTCCCGAAGGAGAAGGCGCACTTAGTTACCGTCCACATGAATGCTATGGTGTCAAGTGGCAAAAAAAATTTTATACAGAACAAAATGAGCTTAGCATAAAAGAATATTTTTCGAAACGCAATAGTTTAAGAATGTTACTTAGCAAATTCCTACCAAAGGAAAAAAGCAATGAATTCTTTCAAGTTGGCAATTTTGTGGACAAATTTGGCGACGAATACGTGTTTCTCATGAACAGAAATGAAGTAGTGCAAGTTGTTAGTCATGCAAATAACAATAGATTACCGATTTTATACAGGAATACTATCGACAGACAAGAAAACCCCGTTGAACTGATATTAAAACTTGACGTAAAATTACAAGCGTTAATTCTTATAGTTTACAATGGGGAATATATTTGGCGCATTCATAAAAATGACAATGGTGTGCAATGTTTTACAAACGCAGACTATGATCTTCAAAGAAGCACTAAAATTGATCTTATTTGGGAAAATCAAAGAAAGACCAAGTCAATCTTTAAAGTAAAACTACTTGGTGACGGACCAGGCGAATATTGGTGTGAAGGACACACTATCTTTGATTTTAATTTTTTGACCACCCAACGGGTAGTGGCAACAAAAGAACAACGTGGGCATTCCTTTGCTGTGAAAATAAACATCCCTTGCATTATAGAAACTAAAAATGAATACACCAACATGTGTAATAATATTGATAAAAACATGAAAAGGCTTGGAAAGCATGTACTGAAAGTTCTACGAGAAAGAAGTAGCGAGGTTTCTCGAGACTTGAATCTGCATAATTCACGTATTATGAGTATAGAAGAAATTACTACACAAAATATTAATTGTTGGCTTCACTTGACTGCTTCCCTAAAAAACTCTGCAGTTGATAATAGTGAAGAGGAGAGTAGCCAAGAAGAGAATAGCTTGGAAAACGATAATTTTGTTAGACACGACACTTCAGTACGTATGCAAGTTTGGACTTTATTAAAAGAGCTGTTATCAATTTACAGCCAAAATAATACGATTGTAATACGTAGCTCAGAATATTGTTTTCCAACTAAATTTCATTTGAATAATGATACATACCAGTGGAAGCAGGCAGTGATTGGGCAAGTGGGCACATTATCACGATTGTGTCTTCAAACTAACGGCATGCCATATACACGTCATTGTCATGGCAATTTTACGCATGGTGCTTATTGGGAAATATTGAAGGGAAACATATCATGTCAACTTAACCAACACAAATTGAAAATAACAAAAACTCTTTACAGCTTAACTAACTCGAAAATGCTTAAAGCTTCGCCAGAAAGGGTGGTTAAAAAAGTTAAAGATATTTTGCAAGAATATGCTGGACAGGTTTTACCAGTGGATATACATTTTGCTGCTGACATTGTGCAAGCTTCTGTAAAAAATTTGGATCAGTTTTTTTTGAGTTTGCCCAAAAAAGCGATGGGTGCGGAGCTTATTCATGCTGACGCAGTATTGAAAGACATCACCCGAGATCTTATATACATTTACAATTTTCTGATAAATGTGAAAGAAACCACAATACGGATGTCAGCTAAATTAAACTCAACCAACAAACTTCTGGAGGCATTTGAAATCGCAATGAATACTTTTTCATCACAGACAATATTTAATAAAGATAATGTAAGCGGAGCAATTGGAAATTCTAACGAATTAGAGCCTAGAACCGATTTTGAAGTCTTGGACTATGAGGATATTGGAGTTTCCGTAAAAATATCACCCAATTTACTCTATTTTATCATTAACCCGTTGATCGCTAATATTTCTGGAATAGCAATATTTAAAAATGATAATAATACAACGGAACTACCATATTTATTAAATGGTGCTTTTCAAAATGAGCACTATAGATTCCTGCAGTCGAATCATGAAATTGAGGACTTCATTTACGAATCTAACTTACAATTAGCCACATATGTTCCACAAAAACTCTTGGAACAATTGGACGCAAATTTAAATACCCATAATGTTACCGAGGTAACAAATAGTATTGTGATTATCAAAGTCTACTCAAATGACAAACTTTTTCAATCACAAGCCAATCATATCTCACGAAGTGCTTTGGGTCGTGTCGTTTCAATATCCTTACCGGGTCACAGTTCGCATTTACCTGAAGAATTGCCACTTGCTTTTAGAGTTTTTCAAAGTGACTTATCAAAACACAATAAAACCAAAGATATGTGTGGATATTGGAATTTTGAAAATTGGGCCTCAGATGGGATTCAGGTCTCTAGTCTCTCCGAAATGTACGAAGATATTATATTATGTCAAGTAAGCCACCTAACGCCATTCGCTTACCTAGTAGGCTTTAATTTTACTGTGGAAGAAGACATTGAAGTAAATATCCAGCAAATTCATGACCAGGCTCTTGACATTATAACGGTAACAGGCTGCACATTATCACTTCTCGGTATATCTGGCATATTTATAACTGCAGCAATATTTAATTCTTGGCGCCAGAAACCGTCTTCCAAGGTACTACTACAACTTTCAGCTGCAATATCTTTGCAGATGATAATTCTTTGCTTTGTTAATACAGAGGAATACTCACTACATTTAATTATAAATCAAATAATGCCTAGCTGTGTAGCAATTGGCGCTCTTCTTCACTACTCTGTCCTGGTTCAGTTCTTCTGGATGATGGTGATTGCATACTTGCAATTCAAGAGATATGTGCATGTATTTGGAGGAACTCGGCCGAACAGGTTCTTTATGAAATCGACCGCATTATGTTGGGGTGTACCAGTTATACCAGTTGTGCTTGTTATTGTGCTAGATTATGATTCGTTTAGTCAAGGGGCCATTTGCTACCCTTCCGGTTATGCGCTTTATTTCGGCATAATTATGCCAATTTCCATCATCATATTAGCAAACTTTATTATCTTTTGTCTTATTATATATAATATATTAGGAAGGTCCAGCACACCAATAAGGCATACTGATAAACCCGTTTTAATCCATCAGATAAGGCTATCAGTACTGCTTTTTTTTCTATTGGGATTTACATGGTTTTTCGGGTTTTTATCAACAATTAAGGTTGGTATTGTATTTTCATATCTTTTCTGTCTCACAGCAACACTGCAAGGGTTTGTTATCTTTATATATTTTATTATCTTAGATCCTGTTACGAGACGTATGTGGCGAAAATTTTTTTACGAACTTTGTTCTAATAACAATAGTTATCTTCAAAGTACAGGTACTAATAAAGACACAACGCAATCATATTGAATAATATACTACTTAAGTTGTCATTGAATTATTTGTAAAAAACACTTGTATTAGCTTAATATTACAAGTATATATAGTATTTAATATTCTAATAAACAATTATTGCACGAAATATCGTAATGATGATGTTGGCTACCCTTCCATGGCTTAAGTATTTGCTTAGCTGGCTCGATCTGCGATGTGTATGTATGTATGTATGTTATTATAAAACAAAACAATTACGGTACTCCCGGTTGGCTGCCTGTTTTCTTGTTGTTTGACTTTCATCAGCTTCATTTGTAAGCGTATAATTTTCCATTGTGTGAATTGTGTAATGACAATCAACTGTTGGTATGTTTGCATGTAAACATGCATGGCAAGTAAAGAAATGCGAGTTCAAATAGGAGAGGGTGAGGGTGGGCTTGGACCTTATATATCATTTCATATATCAAACATATTATTATAATATTTTTCTAAATTTGACCAGGAAGCCTACCAGGTGCTTGTAGTCGGATAAAATTTTCATTAATTCCTCTGAATATCACCACTAACCATACAACATATAGACTGGACATCACATAGAGGGAATGTGGACACAAAAATATCGGTGGCATGTGGTCCAAAATCGAGATCAAGGGAGTACGATATACATATAATGTCTTTTTATTCACTTACACTACTGTAAGAACGGCAACGCTGCTTTTTTTGTCTCGCTCGCACTTACTCTCAGTGCTCTCTCATATGTGTGTATGTGTCCGACAAGCAAAAATGCGCGCAAATTCAATTTTTCTCAAATGTTGGAGGCATTTCTTCCCATTTGAAGGGACGAGTAATATGAAATCATGAAAGGGTTTGCCACGTCGACCCGAAATTCTTGCATTTTAGATCGTTATCGTTGGTAAGGGTACCTAACGGTTGACATGTGTGCATTTACGATTCTTTGGACTTGCTGTATTCACGCATACTTGAATATTTGTATATGTATATCGCTTGTGTGTCTGTTGCTTGCCTGCCTGCCTCTCCCCTAGGCAAATTTCACAAGATTTTGGGATTTCTGATTTTCGACCTCTACACACAGACACATACACACAAATGCGCATGAATGGGCAGATCATGTTTGTTTTGATTTTAATATGAAAGAATTGCAAATGGTTAACTGATAATATTGTTGGTCAAATTCAAATATGAACAGGTAAGAGGTTCTAGTCGGGAGCTCCTGACTAGGGGATACCCTGAACCCTCTTCCTGTAACATACATTTACATACTTTTCTGCCTATAACATACATTTACATTTCGCACAAATGAAATATACCCTTAACCCATTTTTAATGGATTCAGGGTATAAA